ATCTGTCTCTTGTAAAGACATCAAAACATAAAATTACAGATGCATTAACACAACAAGGCAAAGGTTTTATTATCCAGGGGGACAGGAGACGACAAAAACACAGAAAAACAAAAACAGCAATTTCCCACAGCCTTTCCACTTCTCAGTGAACGAGGCAATAAAGCCTTTAAATGTTTTCTATTCTTTGATCCTCCGCTATCTCTCAGGCCAGTTATCCTGACATGACATCAGTGGGTGAGCGACTGGCCCCAGCAGCATGCTAAAGTCAGCTCCATGCAGCTGCCTGATTGATGGCTGCAAACACACCGCACTGATAGCACAGCTCCAATTAGACCCACCGCTGTAATCGTGAGTGAGATGGAAAACAGAGACAAGTGGCAAAGTAGGAGGAGAATATAAACCGAAGAAGAAGAAGAAGAGCAGAAATTCATGTGGAAAACGTTTTCTCTTTTAAGTGAAAGTTATGTCTGAAAGGGGGCATCGCTCGCTCGGTGTTCAAGAGCCCTTTGGGCGGCGAGACGATGGAGAAATGACAGCGCCATTACCCAGACGATGAAAGAGATGGAGGGACTCGTTCAAAGCGCACGATACATTTCTGTCCTTATTGTCGAGCAAATGATGGAGAGAGAGATGAGGAGAAAGTGAAGGAGAAAAGTCAAAAGGAGGATCTGAGAGGAGGAGAAGGAGAATGAGTGAGACAGGAAGGGAGACAGGATGGGTGGAAGGAGGAATGTGGACAGGCTGGGCAGAAGACAGGGCATGAAAACCAAATGGAAAAGACAAGATTTGCAAGGACGGCAATGTCCCTCTTTAGAGTTGGTACATTGAATTGGTTTGAGCAGAAGAGATGAACGGTGTGGAGCCGTCACACGACTCCTCCTCCGTCCCGTCTTGATGGATTCTGCTGCACCGGGTGTAAAAAAAAAAAAAAAAGAGTTCATCCATTTCCCTTACAAACCAGACTGACGCTTTACACTCCCTCCAAAACCAGAGCTCCTGGCCTCACAACTAACTGCACAGCTGACTCTATAAATTCCAAAACAGACTTCATATCTAGATTTCCAGAGCGTTCCAGTTGCTGCCCTCATGCCGTGCTCTTATCAGACCCGGAGACTTATGCGGCGAGCCAATATCATCCATCTAAATCACGGGCAGGCGGGTTGTGCAGTGTGTCCCTGTGGGTGGAGGTTTGCGTGATTCCTTTCCTGCGCTGATCTGTGGTGTGTTTGACACAGTGTGTAACAGTGGCACGTCCTCTGGCACAGCGGACATTCAAGCGCACAGCCGTCAGTGTTTATGGTGCGTTTAAACAGACTGGAAAAACGCAGCGCTGTCGAGGCTGATGGAGAGTGTTGATTCTCAGCGTGGCGGATGTTTGTCTAGTGCCTGTTCCTCTAGTGATGCCAACTAGTGTTTTCATCTCATCACAACTTGAAATGATGTTTCTCTGATGTTTTCCAGCTGCGTGTGTGTGAAAACTAATTTGACCACTGAGGGATTTTCCAAATCAATAATTTGCAATTGGTAATCCGCAGCCGGGCACTGTTCACTAGCTGCACAGCAACAGATCACAAACAGAGACAGTTAGTGACCAGTTCACAAACATAGTGGAGCCAGCCCACGAGGCAGATAGATTATTATTCCCTCTGTACTTTTGCCATGTGGACAAAATGCAACCTCAAATAAATGATTGTGTTTCTCTGTAACTGTCGTCTTAATGAAAAGCTATTTTATGACAACTTTGAAATTTGGGATGGGAATCGAAATCTGGTTCCAGCCGTAAAACTCACAGAAATCGTATACGGCCTTTCAATTATCGGTTGCTCTTACAGATGCTGACGTGTTTTTCTAATTGCATATTTCAAAACGGTGTTGGCAACAGGAGTAATGCCACAGAGGAAGAAATCATGGCTTCACTTTAACAGTTATAAGGACTGTAAAACACTAATGTCAAGTAAACAATCTGTGGAACAATCTTCAATCTGTTGCCTCTGGCCTTTCTGTGTGGAGTTTGCATGTTCTCCCTGTGTCTGGGTGCGAATGGTTCTTTGTCTCTGTATTTTGTGATACACTGGTTAGGTATAGATAATGGGTGGATGGAGGAATCTTTCATCTGTCTGAAAGTGTTGCGTATCAACAAAGACTTAATTTCCTTTAATGCAATGTATTTGATGCATGAGCTCTGCAGCTTCCCAACCAAGCAGCAGGATCACAGCATTTCATAGACACAGACTTGACTTGGGTGGCCCTTAAATCAAATATTTAAAGACTGGGCTGAATCCCAAATATATCTGACAGAACTTGATTGAAAATTAAAAAAACATGTATGAAATGAAGTTTCCTGTTCATACTGTGCATGTTTTATCAAAGTAAAAGATTCAGGACTAACTGTCGACAAATTCAGGTTGTTTTTCTTTAAGACTCAGAGAAAACAGGACGGGGCTTTAATGCAGATAGCACGCTCCACTGGACAAACCAGCTCAGAGACCAGAGGACGGCTGATCCCTTCACGCTGCTCAGACACACAAGGATTAAATCTCTCTGCATCTGCACGGACACTAAGTGGTGCACAAAACCCCAACTTAGGCAGTCAAATACAACAACACAAACAATTACTTGTCATTTAAGGCACAAACACGTAAAGTTTGTATGGATGAGCTAAAGCTCCTGCAAACCCAAAGTAAAATCTTCTTAGCCAGCTCCCCTGGTCTCCTCCAGGTGACTGAGGTAGCGCTTCAACAAGCTCCTATAAAACGCTCATCAATCATAGAGGCTAATCTCAGGTTCTCGCTGACACTTTCATTGTGCAGGTCTTTTCTATACGGCTGCCTTCCCATAATGCCCCGCTCTGCCTGCTTTGACGGGCCAGCCGCCTCGCAGCTCCCTGCCATTAGAGTGATTCTCAAGTGGCACGCCTTTGAATCGAAGCACCGGCTAATCTGGACATCTGGAGGCCTGGAGGGTGAAGCGGGACAGAGGCAAAGACTCAGCAGCCAATAGGTGACCTCAGCACAGCTTTGTGGAGAAGGAAAATGGCCATTTCACAAAATCTGAGGTTTTAAACTACAACAGAAAGAGGCTGTACTTTTCAACCTCATAAATGCTGTTACACAGGAGGTCCAGCAAAGTCTTTATGTCCTTCTTCAGTTCCATTAGCCAGGGATCAGACCAACAACATGGGGGAGATGGCGCCGGAGTAAGGAAGGAAACAATACTGCAGTCTCCAAACTAAAAACAGAGGAACTCTTGAGGACAATGTCAGAAATATTGTTTGGAGGGGGATTCGTTTATTTCTAATCACAACAGAACCCCTCAGGCCGTCTCTTCTTCTCCTGTGTTTCCATCCTCGATTCCCACCAGCAAGTTTTTTTTTTCTGGTTCTTCAATCTTTGTCACCGCGCTCGTTCGGTCGGAGGAACACAAACAGCCCTATTCAAAAATAAACACAGCAATTTGGTGCGTGTTTGCCTTTCATTGTGCCACATCTATCTGTGATTCTGCTCCCAAACTGTTCTGTTTCATTTCACACCGCGAGGAACACCTTGTTTCTCGGGCCACTGTACAGATGAACGGGCGAGATAGGGAGCACCGTTACTCTACACAATCATTTCTATCTTCCTTTTTGTTGTTCTTTTTTTCTGTCTGAAAGCTAAAGTGTGAGGTAATGTGGCACTGGGATGATGTATGTTTACGAACATACATTTTCTCTGGTGGCTGTGAAAAAAGCAGCTCTTGTATTTTTTCCTTGAGGTAAAGTCAGATCAACATTAAAAGACCATTCAGATTATAACCCAGGTCTTGTTTTTTAAGTTCCATTAACCATTTTAATATATTAATATCACTTATTATAACGCTCACGAGAACCATAATTCTTGAAATCAAAGTCGTCAAGAGTAGAGGGTAGAAACTAATACTCATGTTAAAAAACTATCCTTGACTCGTCATGTTGCCCGTCAGTGCATTTGCGATTTACAGAGTAGATAGAGGTTTGTTTACCAGGTATAAATATTACTTGAACACCTGTCAATAACGTCAAGTACACAAAGGCCAGCCATGACATATATTTTGTACCTCAGTGTACACAAGGCTCAGATATCCATACACCCACCATAGAATTACCTCCGCCAAAGACGTTTTGTTTTCACCGCTGTTCCACTGGCTCTCAGCAGGATTATGCAAAGACTTACAGAACGGATTCACAGAATTAAGAAGAGGTTGCCAAAAAAGAGAGAACCCATCAAACTTAATGCCGATCAAGGATTTTTTTTTTTAAAGACTTTCTTTAACATTGCGAGATTTACCAGGAAATAATTGATGGATGTAGATGAAAAACATAATCCTTAGTCAATGAGTAAGTGCAGCTTGATTGAATCCAAGGGTACTACTGGGCCTTGGCAGACGTTTGAGCTCTACTGAGTGCCATTCTAGTTGTGTGTGTGTGTGTGTGTGTGTGTGTGTGTGTGTGTGTGTGTGTGTGTGTGTGTGTGTGGCCACTACACTACAAGAGCACCATCTGTGCATGTATTCTCTAAGTGGACTCCAAATGGACTTGAAAGTATTAGAATAAGAACAACTACAACAGACGTCCAAGTGTGTCCACAACAGAGAATAATTGAGGCCTTTGCCAGATTTTGAACTGGGTTTTTGCAAGAATTCATGAATGTGCCGCTTTGGCAATGACCGGACGAAAGTCACTGTAGAGTAGAGGGTCCCATTATTTAAATAATTAAATCAAAAGCTAAGACGAGAACTGAAACTGGTATTAAAAGTTCAAAGAAATTGTTATCAACACGGGAACAATATTTCATGAAATTCCTTCATCTCAGTCCAAATGTGGGTAAATCTCTAAACAACCCAACTGTGGGTCAAAAGTATAGAAAGAGATATGATCAGTATCAGGCTGCTGTGTAAATAACTCACTTTCAGTTTCCTTGTGTCCATGAAAACATTGTAAAAAGGTTTATCAGATGTTTAACAAGTGGTTAAAGATGATGTCTGACCTTGGATGGAAACCTTTGGATGTTCTTTCTTTGTGCACTCTGGTTGGGTCAGCGGGTCAAACAATGGCGGGGTTGTCGGGACTGAGTTCTGAGTGAAAACAGTCGGGAGGAGGAGGAGGAGAAGGAGGAGGAGGTGGCCAGCCACAGACGAGGGCGTGGAGTCCTGTGAGGACGCTGTCATGGTGATGACCTCTCCTCTAACTGCCAAGGTGGGCCTCTGGGATACGGCTGGAGGAGAGAAGAGACGACGTCAGCACCTGAATACATTTAAAACATCAAGCTTAAAGGAAAAGAAGCTCACTGCTCTCCTCAAAAATCATTTCTTCTCTCAAAGCTTTCAATTCCTGAGGGCGCTCATCTTCGAATCCAGAGGAACAGACAGAGAGAGAGGAATAACACAAAGATATTACATTTTGGTTAAAATGGACGTAAATGTGGGATGAAAGCAAGAATGCTAGGTACCCGGTGGGTGGCTGGAAAGACGAGATATAAAACAGATACGGAAAAACTGCACAACAAACTCTTGTACCTCAGCGATGGGCCGAAACTGAAAGAAGTGCCTAACCTCTAACCTTAAGACAATCATTTAAAATGTGCAGTTAAACTTTGGAGGTTCATTTAATGGCTGATTAAAATTGGAGAATTGAAAGCAATAGTGGACTGTTCAATGAGGCACAAGTTTCCACAAGTCAGTGGAGCAGGAGTTAGTTAACTTAAAAATTTGTGGCCCTGAGAGAAGTGCTGGAGAAATGTTAACACAAGTATTTACTCCAACTCCTTTATCCTGAAAACACAGTTATTACCCCACATGTGATTCATATTAAAACATGAATAATATCCAGTCTGGCTGCCATATCCGCGTGTTACGTAAGTACTTCCAGCCAGCAGACAGAGGCACACACATACACGCTCATTCTCTCCTGAGTAAATGTAATCACCTCCAGTCACAACATATGAGTCCACAGTGCAGAGCTGAAACCAGCAGTTCATCATCTCCCACCCTGCGCTCCTTACGACATTAGCTTAGCGAGGTGTGATGTCATTAAAGTAGATTAAAAACTGAGAGCATCAACTTTCTGCACAACTTTGGCTGGGTTACATCTCTGCGTAGTGTTTTCCTTCCTAATGCTTCGATCAATAATAAATTATTAGCTTGGTTGAGTTGCAAATCAACCATATTGCCTTTGCAATCAATTATCCCTTTGACTACAGCCGCTAACTAATTAGGCTAATGCACACAGAGCCTATGTTTGTCATTATGCTGCGGAGTCAACAGGCTCCCACAGACACTGCCAGCAAACACAGTGTTGATGAAACCGGTGGAAGTATTTAATGAACTCTGCACTGGACGCCTCTCAGAGATCTCCGTTACATAAACTGAGACTGAGAGCGTGGACGGCTCCAAACCAAATTTTCAGTCTGACGTTCTATTTTTTATTCTCGACTCATCTTAGTTTTGAGCAACATGCCAAAATGCTCCTCTGTCATATTAATTCCTAATTACACAGCACTGATACCTGCTTCCAACAAATGAAGCAGAACATCTTCTGTTGTGCTGCACAAAGACCTTTAATTAAACCTGAAAGGACCATATGTTCCCAATTTCACTGCACGAGCTGCCTCTGTATTGATGGTATATAAAATAATACCTTCAGCAGACTCTACATTCATGTCTGACTTCTGATATTTTCACTTTTAGCAGATGCCCGACAGCAGAAAGTGACATGAAACACATAAAACCAAACTGAGCACGTTATGCTTATAATGTACGAGTTTCACCAAGTAGAACCCACTCCTTTATTTCTATTATCTGCAGGAGCAGCGTTGGCAGATGCTTAATTCACATTAAATCTCAGAGACCTGAAAGTCAACGGCTGACTCAACAAATTCTCTCATTAGTCTAAAAGCTGGAGTGAGAGCGGGGGGGGGGGGGGTGCTTTGTATGTGTGTCTGTTGTGGTGATGGGGGGGGGGAGAGAGAGGGGGGGGGGGGGGGGGGGGGGGGGGGGGGGGGGGGGGGGGGGGGGGGCAGGAGATCGTGACAGATGACCAGGACTCTGCTGCAAGTTCCCACTGTGGTGGGTGAGCACGGACACACACTGAGGGAAGAGTACTGTCGGCTGCAGAGGAGTCTGAGGATGTCAAGGAAACTTTAAGAAAGTCAAATAGAGCTAATTGAGCTGTGCACGAACACACACACACACACACACACACTTTACTTATATACAGACCCACACAACATACTTATATTCACATACATGCAACACACACACACAGATAGGCAGAGATTACGTATATACAGACACCCACAATTTACTCCTTTTCACACACATTTTCCTTATTCACATACATGCACAGCTTTACATATACAAATATACACAAGTGCGCACACACACACACACAGAAACACACACACACGCACACACAGCTTCGAAAACTGGCAAATCCAGCCATGGACAGCTGGTCACACTCCACACTGGGTCACGGCGAGTGGGCAGAACTGATGCATGCTGTGTGCCAACATCCACTCCTGAGAGGGGAGTGTGTTTGTGTGTGTTTGTGTGTCTGTGTTGTATATGAGTGTGTGTGTATTTAAACCATGGCTCTTTACAGCCACTCCAAAGAGGCCTGATGCTGTCCATCCAATTTTCTCTCCTGCTGTGTTTGGGATTAGCAACAGTTTGTCAGCAAGGAACCAAGACGATCTATACCTTTGAGGAAGCTGTCTCTTCACACACACACACACACACACACACACACACACACACACACACACACACAGGTGAAGCCTTTAAAAAGACTCACTGAGCCGCTGCTCACCCTTCAGACATCTTGCTGGATACAACAAGTCGATTAAAGATGCGCTACATGCAGAGGACATACAGGGTACTTGTGTATATTGGTCTAATAGACGTCCAGGCACGTTTCTTTGTCAATAACTTGGTGACCCATGAGGAGAGGGATTTGAAGGCTGTGAAAACTGGAGAGGAAGAACATTTTCACTCCTTTAAAAAGTGACTCCATCACAATGCATAATACTCCAAGAAAAAGCCCTGCAGCCAGCAGCAGCTTTAAAATATACTATTTAAAGTATTCATCGTGAAAAAACCTCCAGTCTGGTGGCTCCTACAGATACAGAGGGATGTGTGGCGAGGGGGGGGTCACAGCTTGCTGTACAACACAAGATCCACAGACTTTGAACAACCCTCATTACTCCTCAACAGTACAAACTCTGCTCCATATGCAGGTCTAGCCAGAGTGCTGCTATCTTTACTTTCATTTGGGCATTTAATTGGAAGAGCCAACTCAGGGGACATTGTTATCATGGGGGGGATTCTGATGGGGCTTTCACACGTTCTTTGTTTGGTCTGGACCTTCGGACTTTTCGGATCAAAATGACAGATGTGAAAAGTGCAAACAGACCGAAGGCGGTGGTGTCAGTCCGGATCAAACGAGCCATGGTTTGGATCGTTTGCAGTTTGGGTCGTTTTTTTGGAAAGTTCTCGACTTTCTGACCAAGGGCAGGAAGTTGAGGCAGCATATAAAAATAGAAGGAGTAGAAGTGGATTTCCTTTAGTCTATGACAAAGACGTTCATGAGTAATGATAGTACAGTAATACAGTAATGATAATACACTGGCAAGAAAACGTACAAAGTGAAACTGGTCATTCATTTACTTTATTCAAATGGAAGGACTCAAAAACGTTAGCAGACACACGCCAGTCGACAAAACCAATCGCAGTCAAGTAAAGGTACACGCAGGACACGTAGGTTGTGACGACAGCACATATGTTTGTCTTAAGTCTGCTCTCTAAAGTGCAAATGAAAACTAACCGGATGAGAGACAACAAGGACATGAAACTTAGTTCGGACCACGGTCGTAACTTTCAGATGTGAAAACGCCCTGAAAATACATCCAGATACTCGTTTATATAAAAGCACCATCGTCTAAAAATTATAGAGAAATACAACAGTGAGTAAATGTTCTCTCCCCCTCTGCCAGTGTTTGACAATTTACATGAGGCAAACAATATCTCATCGGGATGCTTCAGCATGGTGCCGCTTGGTAAACAACCCAACACACTGCAACACCTCATATTTTTCTCCTAGAGGCTTAAAGTAAAAATACAACAATTCCTTGGCACCAAGATAATTTTGGAAAGTTCCTAGATAAACAAGGTAAGCTCTCCTCTTTAAAAAAAAAAAAATCCTTCTCTTTATCCAGATGGCAGTCAGTAAATCTCAACCTTTCCTTAGCGCAGGCTCTCACAAGTCCCTGCCGATGCCAGCATGTATCTATGGCAACAGAGCAGCAAATTGGTAGTCAGGCAGCGGGAACCAGGTTGAGTGTGTGTCGGCACAGACCTCTCCAGTCGACCGGCGGGAGCTGGATGCAGCGCGGTGTGAAGAAGTGGAGTGTTCAGAACAACGAAACGCTTCAAGTAGGCAAATGTGAGCAAAATGTGCTGAGAGGGTGATGACAGTAAATGCATGTACTGTGTAAATACAGAAATAACAAGTCAACCGACTCGCCTTTCATTTCTCAGGTACCTTTGCTCCAGATGTGACTTTCCCCCTTTAACTAAAAAGGAAAAATATTCTGTGTCCACAATGACAGCTTTTCAATAAGTATACCTTCAATTCTGCACAAAACCTGAACCTCATTTCTGTTTCATTCTCAACCCTTCTCCTCCACTTATCACTCCTTATCTGCTTTGCATTCTGCGCCCTCACCTCTTTCTTCCGTTGCTCTTAAGACAGTTAGGGACCTCTTTATGGCCGTGGGAGCTGGATGCAACACAGTGTGAGTCGAGTGCTTCGGACAATGAAAAGCTTGAAGTAGGCAGATGTGAGCAAAAGGTGTTGGAGGACGGTAATAATAGTAAATGGATGTAGGCTACTGCATGGATAGTAGAGTCATTAATGCTTAGTCTCCGGATATTTCCGCCGGTCAGGGGACTTTACCGACAGCTTTTCAATACGCACTCCTTCGATTGTGAAACAATTAAATTGATCCCTGGCGTGACGAAAACTTCTTCCCATCTCATTTTCAACCCTCTCCTCTGCCCATCAGCCCTTGTTCTCTTTGCACTCTGCCCCTTCATTTCTTTCTCCCATCGTTCTCGAGACAGTTATGAACCCGGAGTTTCCAGAGAGCACTTCACCTTTTTGTGGCTGTTTGCCACCTCATTTCAACCTCGCCTGCGAGGGGAGTACCTCTAATTACAA